TTATGTACTGTGTACATATTGAATTTTTTTTAAAAAAAATTCTATTATACATATTAAGAATCATGCATACTAAATTTCGTCAGTTTTGTTAACTATTAAAAATTTTTAAGGTTGAATTAAAGTTACGTAGAAATAAGTAAAAACACCAATTACTGCTGATTTATAAATTATTATTATACTTTTAGAAAATTCGAATATAAAAAAAAATTTAAGTACTATCGCTATGATTTAACCGACGGACGTATGTAAGCACGTACGTACATACCTGGTGCGTCATATCTGATATCAGATATGTATGTGCGTACGTAAGTACGTACGTACGTGTGTGCATGGTCACGTTATTGCCACAAATAAAAAACTTATCCGTATCATACCTTTAAATTTATTTACACCCGATGCACAAGAAAATCAAAATGAATAATTTTTGTTATAAGTTTATATTTGATACATATATACAATATGTGTACTTGAAGCATTTTTTATTGACCAAAAAAAAAAAACCATTAATTTAAACATTGATTAATGTTTATCGTTATTGTTTATTTTGATTATTTAAAAACGGTCAAGAGTTGCACTTTAAAGGGTTATTAGAACCGCATTTTTTTTAAATTTCTATTGGTTAAATCAAAATTTATAATTGAATTAAACGATTTGATAAGTTTAGGATAAGTGTGAAATATTGATTACAACAGGAATTGCAAATTGTTGATCGCTTCACATATTCTACATATTCTTTGTATTGCTCAATTGCTCATATAAATTATACCCAATCTTGGTAACATGCAATATTCTTTGTACTACCGTCGGCCAAGTAGCACCAAATTCCACGCATGCTCAAAAGAAAGTGTTGACTAGTCTGTTTCTCTTTACTTCTTGTCGTTAGAGCCCAAGAAGTTTTTAGAATTTCATTAAGGTCGTTATAAGGTGTTCATAAAGATAGATCCCGGCTTCAATATATATCATACTGGACAAACAAAGTAATCCAGCTATGCCGTCGGAACATTCCCGTTCTTCCTCGGACGCATCAGCAACCTCTGTTCCCACAATTAACATTAGACGTGCTCCTACTCCTCCTGATAATATTTCTAATCAGTCCAATCTAAATACCAACTCTAACAATGAACAACTTTTAGACGCCAGTGATGCACGCTCAAATGGTCAATCAAAAGATAGAAATCGTGATAAAAGCACTTCAAGAGACAGAAGTTCTTCACGAGGAAAAAGTCCCGGTCGAAAATCTGACAAACGAGGTAAAAGCTTGTCTCCTGGGCGCAAAAGTCCCTCAGGAGAGAAGCTTTTAAGTACTTCAAAAAATTCTAATAGATCTAGAAGTCCAAGTCCTCGTCCAAAAAGTCCTGGTCGTAGTAATTCGTCACGTTCAAAAAGTCCTCGTAATAATCATAATAGGGTAGGAAGTGATAATTCAAATAATAGATCTAATTCTCAGGATGCTCGTGTAGGATTAGGCAGCAAAATTCTACATCCGTGGGTTGCCCCTTCTCTCAACTCAAACGGTGAAACGAACAATTCAAAGAGTGCGAATAGATTAAGTCTTCCAAATTTTACTGATAACGCTAGTCTAAATAACGCAATACGTGAAAGTAATGAACGATGGGCAAAATTAAATCTCGTCCAAGCTGAAAGCAAAGGAATGGGTAATTTTTCTAAACCTGCTAACAGCCTTCGAGTTGTCTCTACGCGTCCGAAACTTCATGTTGAGACTTTCAGTCATTTACTTGGAAGCAAAGCTATGCAAAGAACT